TATCGGCGCTATCTGATGAACTCACACCCAGATACAGCAAGCTCGAGGCTCCGTGCCGGAGGAGAGGAAGTCTGTGCTGGGATCATCCCCCTCCCACGCATGCACACACTGATCTGTATGCGATTCCTAACAGACTGAGGGACGGTCAGTTTGTGCTGAGCTATTCTTTACGTCCTGACAGCCCCCCTGCTGACAATGATATCAGTGTCTGAGGGAGTTTTTTGAGGGATGACGAGACCTGTCATAGTTTTGTGTTATACAAGCTGTTGCTCGGCACAGTGAATGGAAACTTTATGTATATTCTTTAGTAAAGGATGCTTAGGTGAGGCAAATGTTTAAGAAGCACCAACATGTTGTAAGTGTTGAATAGCTTTATGTTAGGCAGAAGTGTAATGCTAATACTCCAGAAATGCAATGATTTAACAGATGCTGCTAAGCAAACTGCATTCAGAAAAAGAGTTGCTCTGTTACTTTGTAGCAGAATGAAGTACTTTAATGTCTCCAGTGTGTACATGGTGACTTTGCTAGACTCCACCCTTTAGTTACTGTTGCTAGATCTAATTTTAATTAAAAACAAAATGCAGCTTATTATGGCAGTGGTGTTTGAAGGTAAAGTTTTTTTTCTAATAGTGGGTCTTCGGTTCAATCTATGGTGTAAAAAAAAAAAAAAAAAAAGCAGGCTTCTCTTTTGTAACACAGCTGTTGCAAGTGTTCAGCTGATCCACATCTGCAGACTCTCACATTCTGTGGAAAATCAATGCGAGCCTCCCACCTAAACCCACCAGAAACTGATGGCTTCGTTTCATAAAATGACTTTATTTAATGAGGCCAAGCTAAATTTTACTTCACACCAAGTGCTGTTCCTCAAAGTTTGGCTCTTCTGTTATTGTACACACACCCCAGGCCAAACAATTTAAGCAGGGGATATGAATCCCATTAAAGATTCAGACACAGTTAATAAATGGTGGGAAATCAGATGCTTTATGGGACTGCCACCAACAAGCTGCATTTCCTAAACTATGACTGGCAGTAACTGATCATCACACTTAGGAGTTGGGCAATAGACAACGGTGAATAACTGAGGACTAAAATCCCAAATCTGGCAACACTTCACAAATCTAATTTTCTCCTTTTTTAAATTTCTAATAAGAATTTTAAATCAGCCAGTTGCACTTTACATTCAGATGATTTTTAATCAACTTTTACTGTAAATTGCTGTTCATATACAAAGATATCTAAACACAAGTTGCTACAGACTTGTTTTTGGTTATGTTCATGAAGCATAACTGTGACATATATGTGTAAATATGTTTTAAGGTGATTTGCTCTGAAAGGGGATCGTAGTGGAAAGAATGTAAAATAGATTAAATAGTAGATTTTTACAGAAAACATACGGTAGATATTTGGTACTGATAATATATTAAACATACAAGTGCTTTATACACAAGAAAACATCTCTCTAACAGTATGATAGAGTTTTGGAATATGAATCATTTGCTTCAGTTGGATTTGGTAACCGTACTGCAGAAGCTAAATGCCATATAAAATGTTCTTGTCCAGTATTACTGCTTAGTACTGCTTGACTGCTAAAAGGAGACAAATGAGATGTTTTTGTACATTAACAGCTAAAAGTTGTCATTTTTCATTAATAAAATGGAAATACGTATTTCATGTCTCAAAACATTGCTTTGTGGTTTGTTTGTTTCCAAAAAATGAAGAAAGAAAAAAGCAAGAAAACAGAGTTAATGGGAAAAAAAGGTCTTTTATTTCCTTAAAAAACATATTCATATTCAACAACATATTTGGTCAGGTCTTGTTACAGGTTTAGTCAGTGAAAAGTTCAGACAGATGCATTTGAAATATGAAAATACACTGACATTAATGGCCTAAACTACTCAGCACCCCAACAACACTTTATGATAGTGACTGAAGTCATTTATCAGGAAAAACTATTTTGTATTTAAGTCACC